CGGCGAGACGCGGCGGCAGGAGAAACCCCAGGCTCAGCAGCTCCAGACGCAGCACCCCCAGGCTCAGCAGCTCCCAGCTCAGCACCTCCAGGCTCAGTAGCTCCCGACCCAGCACCCCCAGACCCCGCACCCCCAGGCACAGCACCCCCCGGCTCAGCACCCCCAGGCTCCGCACCCTCCGCAGTAGCACCCTCAGGCCCAGCACCCCCAGCAGTAGCACCCCGAGGCTCAGCACCCCCGCGCACAGCACCCCCAGAGTCAGCACCCCCAGGCTCAGCACCCGCAGCAGCACCAGAGTCACCAGTAACCTCGACCGGGTCAACGGCGTCTACCTGGGACACACCTGAGGGGGCAGGAACCTGAGGGGGGAGGGGGTCTACCGGGGGGGGAACCGGCACAAGGAAGTCCGGGGGAGGGGGGAGGGAAGGAGTGCGGTAGGGGAAGAGACGGTAGAAGGGGACTGACTCGTCGAACGTGACGTCCTGGGAGGACAGAACACGACGAGAGGAGGGGTGGTAAAACTGCCACCCTGGGGCGTCAGTGGGGAAGCCAAGGAAGACACAGGGAGCAGCACGAGGGGACAGCTTGTCCGCAGACAAGTCGCGGACAAACGCCCGAGATCCCCAGACACGGAACACAGACGCATCGCCAACCTTCCCCGTCCACAGCAAGGCTGGGGACATCGCAGGCCGAGAGACCCGGGGGTGAAGGTTGAGCTGATGCGCCGCGTACCTCACTGCAAACGGCCACAGAAAATGGGGGGCAGCCGCATGCATCATGGACGTACGAGCGACATCCATGACCATGCCAATGCGGCGCTCAGCAATCCCATTTTGCTGTGGTGAGTCCGGAAGCGTGAAGGTCTGGCGGATCCCCCGTGCACGACAGTAGTCCCGCAGAAGGCGAGAAGAGAACTCTCCGCCTTTGTCCGAGTGCAGACGCAGAACAGGAAAGTCCGAGCCGAAGCTCTTCCTGAGCTGGAGACGAGCCTCGCGGATCCAGTCAATCAGCACCTCTGTGACCGCACCCTTGCTGCGCAAGGGGAGGACTGTGGTGTAACGCGAGTAGTCGTCAACCACCAACAGGAAGTAGCGCTCGTAACCCTGCCCACGGACGGGGGCTGGGCCCCACACATCCATGTGAAGCGTCTGCAGGGGAGCCTCTGTCGGGGGGAAGTGGGAGGAGTGAGGAGTAGCCCGGAGGCGACCCTCGAGACAGGGGACACAGGAAGGTCCTGGCCCGGAGGGGAGAGGAGGGAGAGACTGGGGAAGACCAGAGACAAGGACACGGCAAGCCATGCTCCGAAGACGGGGCAAGGAGGGGTGGCCAAGACGGTGGTGCCACAGGAGAGTCTCGTGAGACAGGAGGCGACAAGAACAGGGGGCAGACTCAGGACCTGACCGGGACGCAGTAGCAAGTACGTGACCCGACGCAGCCACCTGACTAGACGCAGGGACAGGAGGAGACTCAACGGTCAGGGTGTAGAGACTCGACCCCGGCCGACGCGAGAACGTGGCCAGGTGTCGGCCTGTGCGTGCCTCCGTGCAGTGGGTCACCCGCTGACTCGCAGGAGTGAACTGGTGAACACCCCCATCCTGCAGGTCCGCTCCACTCACCAAGTTCGTGGAGAACGAGGGAAGGTACAGACCCGACAGGGTGCCCGAAGGGGCAGCCGGACACGGGAGGACAGTGGAGAAGTGAGACAGGACAGGACCTCCAGAGGGGTCAGCAAGGGAGACTGCAACCGGTCGGCCGAGCGGCGTAAGGGTAGTGCGGTCCCGAAAGAAGGAGCGAGAAGCTCCGGAGTCAAGTGTGAAAGTGAGGGAGGACGAGGACGACGCAGTACCTGAGAGCGCAGTCTCACCAGTACCTGAGAGCGCAGACGCACTGGCACCTAGAGCAGCAGCCTCACAAGCACCTAGCGCAGCAGTACCAATGCCCGGGTCGGGCTGGAAACAACGGTAACCCTCATTCTCCTCACTATAATCCACAACATACATAGCAGTAAGGATAGCATCAAAATCAAGATCAAAGATCGCTACACCAGCCCTGAGAAGCTCATCCCAGCGAGGGATCTCACTAGCCCCAGGGAACTGCTGACGCCAGGCGTCCGTCAGGCGGCCAAAGCAGCGCTGGGTGGCGTGGGCACCCCCACACTGCTCACCCGCGCGGTCGCCGGAACGAAGAACGTAGGTGCAGGGACCAGTACCCCCACCCCTCTGACGCCCAGCGTACCACTCACGAAGCTGCTGAGGCGAAGGGATGTCCCGAGAGCGCTGCTGCTGCTGCTGCCGCTGCGAGCGCTGGCCACCACCACCGCCGCTACGCTGCTGGGTACCACCCCGACCAGCTCCACCCCCTCCACCACCACTGCCTCCTCCGTCGCCGCCTCCACCGCCTCCACCTCCGCCGCCTCCACCCCCGCCGCTGCCTCCACCACCACCGCTGGCACCACCACTACTGTCCCCGCCGCTGCTGCCACCACCACCACCACCCCCGCCACTAGTCCCGCCGCCACCCCCACTCCCACCGCCGCCACCCGCCGCCACCGCCACCGCCCCCTCCAGCTCCACCCGCGCCCTTGCCCCCCTTGCCCTTGCTGGAGCGACGTCTCCCACTAGGGGCAGACGCCGCGCCGACCGACTCAAGACCAAGTAGGTCGGCAGCAGCAGCAGAGGCAACAGAGGGCAGCAAGGGGGAAGGAGAGCACCCCTCAAAGATGGGGGTGCGAGGGTCACCACGAGAAGCACCTACAGCGACTATGCTCTTCTCCGCTGCGAGGAGGGCCTTCTCGAGGAGGTCGACGGTGAGCGTGGTGGGGCAGACTGCGAGAAAGTGGTCCCTGACGACTCGAAGGGAGTCAGGGAGGCGCGCGACTACGTAGTAGAGAGCGATGTACATGGGGGGGGGGTTCTTAGCGCAGAACTCAGCAGGAAGGGCGGCGCGGTAGCGAGTGTCACTAGTGCGGAGATGCGTAATGAGGTCAGCGACAGTGGGAAAGGCAGAGAGGTCAGGAAAGAGGTAGGGAAGCATGAGACGGCTCAGTGCAGCAGTGGCAGGGGAGAAGTAGCGCGCAACTACAGCGTCGTACAAGGTCTGAGCACTCTTGTACTGACTGAAGTGCGCACGCTCAGAGGTAGGAAGGTGGCGACGCACAGCAAGACGTGCAGCAGCATCGCGGGTGGCCCACTTAGAGCGGACAGCGGGATCAGCATCAGTAGCAGGAGCAGGAGAGGCGCCAGAGGTGAGGTCAAAGAGAGAAAGGTCGTCAGCTCTGTCGCACTGTAAGAACAGCTGCAGGTCGTCTAGCCAGACCTCAAAATCAATGGCGCGACCCTCAGCGTCAAAAGCTAGGACACTAGGGGTAGCCATGACGACGACTGTGAAGCACTGCAAGCAGTAGGGGGGAGAGCACGCAGTGACAGTGGGACTGTGCTCACCAGGCAGGGCAGGTCGCGTAGCTCGACAGAAAGGCAGCTCGGCGACCGGGCGGCTCGGGTGCACAGCGGCTCGGCTCCCGGGCGGCTCGGCGGCAGGGCAGCTCGGAGGCAGGGCGGCTCGGCTCCCGGGCGGCTCGGCGACAGGGCGGCTCGGGTGCAGGGCGGCTCGGCTCCCGGGCGGCTCGGCTGCAGGGCGGCTCGGCTCCCGGGCGGCTCGGCGGCACAGGTGGACTGCGGGGCCGATGCGTAGTGGGCGGCGAAGCCGCGGTTGAGCAGGCGGCGGCCGCAGCCTAGTGGGCTGGGAGGCCGCGGTCGTAGCAGGCGGCGGGGCCGTGCGAGCAGGCGGCTGGGGGCCGCGGTAGTAGGTGGGCGGCGGGGCCGCGCGAGAAGACGGCCGGGGCCGCTACGGTAGTAGGCGGCGGGGCCGCGGTCGAACAGGCGGCTGGCGCCGCGGTCGTAGCAGGCGGCGGGGCCGTGTAAGCAGGCGGCCGGGGCCGCGGTAGTAGAGGGCGGCGAGGCCGCGCTAGCAGGCGGCCGGGGCCGCGACAGTAGCGGGCAGCGGGGCCGCGGTCGAACAGGCGGCTGGGGGGCCGCGGTCGAGCAGGCGGCCGGGGCCGCGGTAGTAGCGGGCGGCGAGGCCGTGCGAGCAGGCAGCCGGGGCCGCGACAGGAGCGGGCGGCGGGGCCGCGGTCGAACAGGCGGCTGGGGCCGCGGTCGTAGCAGGCGGGCGGGGCCGCGATCGTAGTGGGCGGCGGCCGCGGCGTAGCGGGCGGCAGGGCCGCGTCGAGCAGGCGGCTGGGGGGCCGCGTCGAGCAGGCGGCTGGGGGGCCGCGTCGAGCAGGCGGCTGGGGCCGCGATCGTAGCGGGCGGCTGGGGCCGCGACTTAGCGGGCGGCTGGGCCGCGTGTGGGAGGGAGGCGACACGGAGGGTCGCTCGAGAGCGGAAAAAAAAAAAGTTGAGCGCGCCTCGGGGCGCGCTTCGGTGGGCCCTAGGCAGAGTTCCACAGGGAACCCGCTCTATACCATGTCAGAATCCCAACCACTAGACCATTGGACCTCTGACACCCCCCCGCACTGGGATGCCCGAAGTGCATACACCGGGATTCGAACCCGAGACCGCTCTGATACCATGTGAAAAGAGTAAGCAGGAATGGGATGACTAAGGAAAGATTGGGTACAAATGCAACCCTAGAAACCCTGTACCCCATATGTGCTACCCCACTACAGCCTACAGCAACTATGTCATATAAATCTGACAAAGCGCACCCCCCAAAAAACAGTGTTTTTTTATACCCCCAGGGGCGCTTCTAACCGGGGGCTGACGGTAAGAGCCCTCAATGAGTTGGTAGATAATTGTTGTACTATCCACCGTGAAGCCACGTTGGACTCAGGGCTCTCCTGATCATATTTTGGTCTGATAGTCTGATTTTCAGACGTGATTTTTTTAATTCATCTTATTTCTAAGACAGCCTGTTTTACGGTCGTATGATTTTTCAGACCATGTAGAATACTTTGTCTGAATATACAGATATCGAGTTCGGTTTCGTATAAAACTGACAAATTAGCCCACTGCCATAGGACCACTAGGCCACATCTCCATGTGACCATAGGACCACAGGTACAAGGATGGTTGCTGCCCTGTAATTGCACGCGCATTCAATGTGCATGTCTTGTAACAGCCTTGCTGTCATATACTTTCGACATTTGCTGCCAAGAGACTGTCGTGTCGTGTGGCGGCTGTCGGCACCGACGCCGGCAACGCGCTATCACATTGTGCCAGCGCACTTAGTTAGAATGTGTAGTTTGTCTAGCTTGCAGTGGGGTACTCTATAGCGAGTACAACCCAATTAGGGTTTCCTATATGTTTCTCAACTGCTGCTAGTGCAAACCTTCCTGTTCTATCTCTCTAATTACGGTACTATCTTCGACATGCTATCAGAGCGGTCACGCTCCTAGCTTGTGGGCCCACCGTTAGCTTCCGCTGCTGTCCTGTCTCTCGCGCGCCCGTGGCGCGCGACGTTTTTTTCTTTTCTTTCTTTCTTTCTTCTTCTTCTTCTTCTTCTTCTTCTTCTTCTTCTTCTTCTTCTTCTTCTTCTTCTTCTTCTTCTTCTTCTTCTTCTTCTTCTTCTTCTTCTTCTTCATCTTCTTCTTCTTCTTCTTCTTCTTCTTCTTCTTCTTCTTCTTCTTCTTCTTCTTCTTCTTCTTCGTCTTCTTCTTCTTCTTCTTCTTCATCTTCTTCTTCTTGTTCTTCTTCTTCTTCCCCGTCTGGGTCCGCAACTGCCTGGAGAGGTTGATGTGAAGCAAGGAAAACAGGAATGAAATGACTAAGTCAGAGTTGGGTACAAATACAACCCTAGAAAGCTGTACCCCATATGTGCTACCCCACTATAGCCTACAAACATGCATCAGCTATAATAATCTGACACACCCCCATAGGCAAAGTGGGGGAGAACAAGGGGTCACAATACCAGTCAAGCAAAGCAAAGCAAAGCAAGCTCAGGGTGGATCACAAAGTCACCACACAGTCCGAGCACAAGAGCAGGGCCAGAGGCCAGTTCACATGCAGGAGTACAGACATATATATAAAACTAGACAAGCAAGAGCAGGTATATATATATGTCACAGTACAAGTGAAGTCAAGAGGAGAGCAAGTGAGGCAAGACAGGCACAAGACCCAGCTGGGTGCAAAAGCGCTGATGGTCACAAGGCGCGAGTGCCTTGGTGAACACATCAGCAGTGTTGGCCTCAGAGGCCACGTACGCAAGTCGCAACTGACCACGCTGCTGCAGCTCACGAGCAAGGAAGTAGCGGAGAGCAATGTGCTTCGTTCTGTGCTCCAAGCGCTGCTCTCGACACAAGGCCAGCATGGCCTTGTTGTCTACGTACAGCACTGGAGGAGAACGAGGCGGCTCTCCAAGGTCAGTCAGCAGGTAGGTGAGCCAGCGAAGCTCCTGTGCAGCCATGGCCCCGGCGTAGATCTCACCCTCACAACTGGAGCCGAGAACCGAAGACGAGCGAGTAGACCGCCACGAGACAGAGCCGGAACCAAGGCTGAAGGTGTAACCCTGTGACGACCGCTGCGTAGCCTGGTCGTCAGCCCAAGAAGCGTCCGCGTGGCCGGTAAGGACCACTGGACTCAGCCCTCCAAGCACTAGCCCCATGCCCAACGTACTGCACAGGTAGCGCAATACCCTCTTCGCTGCAGCCATGTGCTCCGGTCTGTGTCTCCCAAGAGCAACATAGCGTGCAAGAATGCTCAGAGGGTATGCAAGGTCAGGTCGTGTGCAGGTCATCAGGTACATGAGGCAGCCAACAAGCTCTGCATACGGACCACTCGACTCTACGGACTCATCCGAAGGCAGAGCTGAGAGTGAGTGGCGAGTAGGCAGAGGAGTGGCCTGAGGCGAGGAGTACGTGAAGCCGAAGCGCTGAAGGACCTGCTGCACCATGTGTGACTGAGTCAAGGTAATGGTGCGGCGTGCTCTGTCCCGAGTGATCTGCAAGCCAAGGTAGCTGCGCAGTTCACCCAGGTCTGTGCACGTGTGTCTCTTCAGCAGCTCGGACTTCACGTAGGCGAGTCCAGCAGTGTCCGCTGTGGCAAAGACCAAGTCGTCGACGTACACGAGGATGTAGAACGGCGGCAGGGAAGTGTCGGTGCGAAGAAACAGCGACGAGTCAGCAGTAGAAGGAGCAAACCCAAGAGCCGCAAGCGTAGTCCTCAGTGTGTCGTGCCACTCACGCGGTGCCTGGCGGAGACCGTAGACTGGCCGTCGGAGGCTCCACTGGGTGCCAGGAGGGAAAGTCCCAGTGAAGCCAGGTGGACGGCGAAGCCAGATCTCCTCGTGCAGGCTACCCTGCAAGAACGCAGTGCTGAAGTCGAGAGAGTGAAGCTCGTAGTCGCGCTGAGCGGCTATGTGCAGCAGCACCCGAAGAGTAGTCATCTTCGGGGTGGGAGAGAAGGTCTGAAAGTAGTCAACTCCCTGCCGCTGACTGAAGCCACGAGCAACGTACCGTGCCTTGAAGACAGGTGGAGAGCCCGGCGGTCGCTTCACCCTGAAGATCCACATGCCACTGACGATGTTTGCCCCAGGAGGGGGAACCGCGTCAACGTAGGTGCCTGTGGACTTCCAGGAAGCCATCTCTGCATCCATAGCTGCCTGCCACTGAGAGGAGTAGGGACCCTCTACGGCCTCCGCATAAGAACGTGGAGTCGGGATGTCTAGTGCATCCGGGTCTCCCTCAGGGGCAAGCAGTACAGACGCGAGATGAGGTGAAGCAGCCGCTAGACACTGTAACTCCTCCTGCCTGTCCTCTAGGACGTCCGTGCCAAGAGCACACTCACCCCCGACGGACGGAGGACAGACAGACGCAGACTCAGCAACAAGACTAGCAGCGTAGTCGAGACGACAGCGAGCAGCAAACTCGACGAGCTCAGCGACAAGGGCAGACGCAGCAGTGGACTCAAACGAGGGGTCAGTGACGACAGTAGCAAGGAGACGCGTGACAGTAGGACTGGCAGCACGAAGAGAGTCCGGCTCAGGGTCGGCAAGCGCAGGAAGAGAGGACTCAGGAGGAGAAGGCAAAGGGGCACGCAGAGGAGCAGTGGACGGACGCAAAGACATCCGGTGCGTGCCAGGGACAGGAGGAGGACGCTGACGCGAACCGCGACCACTAGCGCGAGCAGCACGAACAGGCGACGCGGGACGAGACGCAGACTCACGACGCTCAGCAAGACCTCCAGTAGGACTAGTGTAAGGAGAGGGAGCAGGCAGTGGAGAGGAAGGCTCCAGCAGGGACTGCGACTGGACAGGCGGTGGACCCTCTACTAGAGGAGAAAGACCAAGAACCTGCTGCAGGAGCGGAACGAAGTACAGCCGAGGCCGCGCGGCAGCTCCAAACTGAGCAGGGACAGCACCACCACCCTCAGCGACAGCACCAGCGCCACCCACACCTCCAGCGGCAGGACCAACAGCAGTAGGCTCAGCACCAACGCCCTCAGCAGCTCCAGCTCCAGGAGGACCCGCAGGTCCAGCAGCTCCGGGACCGGCAGCACCTGCACCCTCGACGGTCGAAGAAGCTCCAGCTCCAGCTCCAGCAGCACCTCCAGACTCAGCAGCACGCCTCCAGCGGCGAGCGAACCACTCGCGCAGCTCCTGTGGAGAGAGGGGCTCCCGGCGAGACGCAGCAGCAGGAGAAACCCCAGGCTCAGCAGCTCCAGACGCAGCACCCCCAGGCCCAGCAGCTCCCAGCTCAGCACCCCCAGGCTCAGCAGCTCCCGACCCAGCACCCCCAGACCCAGCACCTCCAGGCACAGCACCCCCCGGCTCAGCACCCCCAGGCTCCGCACCCTCCGCAGTAGCACCCTCAGGCCTAGCACCCCCAGCAGTAGCACCCCCAGGCTCAGCACCCCCGCGCACAGCACCCCCAGAGTCAGCACCCCCAGGCTCAGCACCCGCAGCAGCACCAGAGTCACCAGTAACCTCGACCGGGTCAACGGCGTCTACCTGGGACACACCTGAGGGGGCAGGAACCTGAGGGGGGAGGGGGTCTACCGGGGGGGGAACCGGCACAAGGAAGTCCGGGGGAGGGGGGAGGGAAGGAGTGCGGTAGGGGAAGAGACGGTAGAAGGGGACTGACTCGTCGAACGTGACGTCCTGGGATGACAGAACACGACGAGAGGAGGGGTGGTAAAACTGCCACCCTGGGGCGTCAGTGGGGAAGCCAAGGAAGACACAGGGAGCAGCACGAGGGGACAGCTTGTCCGCAGACAAGTCGCGGACAAACGCCCGAGATCCCCAGACACGGAACACAGACGCATCGCCAACCTTCCCCGTCCACAGCAAGGCTGGGGACATCGCAGGCCGAGAGACCCGGGGGTGAAGGTTGAGCTGATGCGCCGCGTACCTCACCGCAAACGGCCACAGAAAATGGGGGGCAGCCGCATGCATCATGGACGTACGAGCGACATCCATGACCATGCCAATGCGGCGCTCAACAATCCCATTTTGCTGTGGTGAGTCCGAAAGCGTGAAGGTCTGGCGGATCCCCCGTGCACAACAGAAGTCCCGCAGAAGGCGAGAAGAGAACTCTCCGCCTCTGTCAGAGTGCAGACGCAGAACAGGAAAGTCCGAGCCGAAGCTCTTCCTGAGCTGGAGACGAGCCTCGCGGATCCAGTCGATCAGCACCTCAGTGACCGCACCCTTTCTGCGCAAGGGGAGGACTGTGGTGTAACGCGAGTAGTCGTCAACCACCAACAGGAAGTAGCGCTCGTAACCCTGCCCACGGACGGGGGCTGGGCCCCAAACATCCATGTGAAGCGTCTGCAGGGGAGCCTCTGTCGGGGGGAAGTGGGAGGAGTGAGGAGTAGCCCGGAGGCGACCCTCGACACAGGGGACACAGGAAGGTCCTGGCCCGGAGGGGAGAGGAGGGAGAGACTGGGGAGGACCAGAGACAAGGACACGGGAAGCCATGCTCCGAAGACGGGGCAAGGAGGGGTGGCCAAGACGGTGGTGCCACAGGAGAGTCTCGTGAGACAGGAGGCGACAAGAACAGGGGGCAGACTCAGGACCTGACCTGGACGCAGCAGCAAGCACCTGACCCGACGCAGCCACCTGACCAGACGCAGGGACAGGAGGAGACTCAACGGTCAGGGTGTAGAGACTCGACCCCGGCTGACGCGAGAACGTGGCCAGGTGTCGGCCTGTGCGTGCCTCCGTGCAGTGGGTCACCCGCTGACTCGCAGGAGTGAACTGGTGAACCCCCACATCCTGCAGGTCCGCACCACTCACCAAGTTCGTAGAGAACGAGGGAAGGTACAGACCAGACAGGGTGCCCGAAGGGGCAGCCGGACACGGGCGGACAGTGGAGAAGTGAGACAGGACAGGACCCCCAGAGGGGTCAGCAAGGGAGACCGCAACCGGCCGGCCGAGCGGCGTAAGGGTAGTGCGGTCTCGAAAGAAGGAGCGAGAAGCCCCGGAGTCAAGTGTGAAAGTGAGGGAGGACGAGGACGACGCAGTACCTGAGAGCGCAGTCTCACCAGTACCTGAGAGCACAGACGCACTAGCACCTAGAGCAGCAGCCTCACAAGCACCTAGCGCAGCAGTACCAATGCCCGGGTCGGGCTGGAAACACCGGTAACCCTCATTCTCCTCACTATAATCCACAGCATACATAGCAGCAAGGATAGCATCAAAATCAAGATCAAAGATCGCTACACCAGCCCTAAGAAGCTCATCCCAGCGAGGGATCTCACTAGCCCCAGGGAACTGCCGACGCCAAGCGTCCGTCAAGCGGCCAAAGCAGCGCTGGGTGGCGTGGGCACCCCCACACTGCTCACCCGCGCGGTCGCCGGAACGAAGAACGTAGGTGCAGG